ACTGTGAAAGACTTTTATACCGAATATGATTACGTCTTTTTTAATGCTTGTCCAGATCTTTTTTTTTTCGTTATTTTTGTGTAAGTATACTGTTATTTTATCCCACGTAGTGGTGTGAGATGTGGTCGATTTTCAAATTTGTTATTTTGAATACATCCGTGTAAGATAGTTCTTGCACAAAGGTCTTTACACAACTGATACGGAACTTCAACGAATATTACAAAAAACCTCCTTTTGTAGGGCACAAAGATTTAGAAATTCCACACAGTGGCAAAGGACAACTAGGATACATAGATACAGAACCCAATTCATGTCAAAAGCAACCAGGTGACAAGCTGCTATCTTGATTACCTGATTTTTTCAGAACCCCAGTTCCTACGAAGATCTACATAAATTACATCTGTTGTACCGTAGGAAACCGCACAAATAAGTGTTGAAAAGAGGGACAAACACACCGAAACATCGCGACCTATTATAAAAATGGCGAAATAGAAACGTCAAACAAGCGCTTGTCGGCACTTTGAGAACTGTAACGAATTGCCATCGTACCTTTGTCAGTCAGTTGTAAGCAGACTCTGGCTTTTCACGAGGGGACATGGGTTTGTTCTGAGGTCGGTGCCTTTCATCTGATAGTTAGGATGGATAACTGGTAGATTAGGGTACAATTGAGAATATTGAACGGTCATTTTCAGGAGAAAAGTGATACTTTACATTTTTATTGAATGAAACTAGGACCATCGCAATTTTGTTCTGAACAAGGGGCGAGTAGTTTAGCTCTGTATTTTGCAATGACACTAGGATTCGGTATCAGGAGTAATAAAATCAAAGATATTTTTGATATATAAAAAAGCTTGATCAGCGCCTGACAGTATGAAAGTGTAGCATCAACTAGGACAGCGTAGTTGTAGCAACAGTACTTCAGGCAGCGTCATCAAAGTGGTATCTAGAGAGACACCATTAGAATCCCTTTTGGCTACACAAGACGCTGTCAGAAGGTGGAGGCAAGGATGACACATTTGTAACTTATCAACACAGGTCACCAACTATTCAGCAATTACGAAAGTCCAAGTTCGGTTCAACATCTTGTGTTCATAAAATACCTAAATATACAGAGTGAAGTTGGATGGTGAATACTGTTTACTTTTTCTAAATAAGACCGTGTTTCTAGGAAATCGTCTTCAAAAACGTTCAGGCACATCAGAGTTCAGAAATTCATACTGACTTTACATACCATATAAACGCTGTTCTGAAGCCTTCTTTTTCGAAAGCAAGTACTTTTGAAATAACGATAAGATACAGAAAACTTGTTCATTTAACAAAAAGATTCAAGTACCGCCACGTGTTACATGTTGCTTATCTATAAGCTGCCTCCATTCAATTCAAGAAAGCAAGTTTCTCCCTCAATTTGTAACGGCCATTGTACGAGATGAGCAAACCTAGTCTGTGCGGGTTGAAACCGATTTAAATACTCACGTGAATCATTAGCAGCATTTTGGATCCACTCACCGCAAAATAATATCGATAAGTTCGTTATTTCTACAGGGTGGCCGATATGTAACTGACTGGTTTGTATCGTGATATGTTTGTGAAATGAAATAAAATACGCCATTCTTTAATTCTTTTTCATCTTAGTCTTTTCTTGAAACTTACAAATTATGTATGAAAAGTAATATCAGACAAATGTCTGCCTCTAGAAGCCGCGCAAACCTGAGCCCTGTTGATCACATTTTCCTTCACTTTTTGGTAGGTTTCAGGAGGAATATTTTCAACCGCTTCCGTAATACTGTTCTTACGCAGCTCTACAGTATTTGGTTTATTGGCATAAACCCTTTTTTTCAAAAATCCCCATAATAAAAAGTCAGGAGCCGATAAATCTGGTGACCTTGGTGGCCAGTTGACATCACCAAATCGAAAAATTAAACATCCCGGACATATTGCTTTCAAAAGACTAATTGTTTCCCTAGCTGTGTGACAAGTTGCTTCGTCTTGCTGGAACCAGATGTTTTGCAGGTTAAATTGATGGATTTGAGATGCTAGAAAGCTTTGCACCATATCACGGAAGCGCTCGCTAGTGACAGTAAGAGAATTACCTGCAGCTTTCAAGGAAGTTAGGTCCAATGCCACCTCCATACCAAACACCGCACCAAACTGTGACTCGACGAGGTTGTAGTGGTCGTTGATGGATGCATCGAGGGTTCTCTAATGCCCAGATACGACAATTCTGCTTATTAACAAATCCGTTTATATCGAAGTGGGCTTCATCGCTCATTTGCAATTGTCGGTAAAAATCGACTTTCATGGTCACTAGGCTGTCGTTCTTGGGTTAACTGAATTTTGTATGGCCGCAAGTGCAAGTCTTTTTTAAAATAAATGGTGCATAATGACCTGTGACGAATACCCAGTTCATGAGAACGATGTCTGGTAGACGTCTCAGGGCGCTCCACTACGCTTTCACGAACTCTCTCGATATTTTCCTGAGTACGAACAGGGCCCGAACTTGGCAAATCTTTAACCTCACCTGTTTGTTCAAATTTCCGCACCAACTGACGAATGGTATTGACACTGGGCACATTATTTAGACCAAAATCTTGTCGCAGCTTCCGAATCGTTGCAACAATCGACTCATTATTTAAGTAAAACGTTTTAACATTACGGATGCATTGTGCGATCGTGTAGCGCTCCATGATGAATTAGACACACGTGTTTCAAACAACTACTACGGCGCCACCTACTGAAATGCGTGTATCAAAAATGGCGCACAATTCAAATCAGTCAGTTATTATATATTGGCCTCACTGTATAAGGATTCCCTTTTATCCACCCAGAATACTTGCCCTAATACTTGTTGAAGGCGGGGCTGGATTTTATATCGCAGATTTTTTTCGAATACCAATTCAGTTGTCTGAAGACTTGTATAGGTATATGCATGTTTTATATGTTGAAGCAATCGCATAAGCAAATCATGAATACCAGAGCAGAGCGGCTACTGTGAGGACCTTAAAGAAACTTTGCCAATCTGATTTTTGAACTGCCTAAGGTTAGTAGAATTTGGAAAAGCTAAGGTAGATTGTTCCACAATCTCGAAACTCCAGAAACAAAGGAGCGATCGTATCGGCTAGTACTGGATGTACGAAGTGGGACGCGGTTAAGATGGGAGACCGAAGTCAGGCGGGTATATCTTGCAGGCATATCGCGCGGAGGCATCATGGAGGAGAGCCCTGAGGAGCGGAAGGGTCCCGAGAACCTCCGTTAGAGAGGAGTCATTGATCAGCCGGCCAGCTCTCGTCTCAACAGCATCGAGCATGGATAATGTAGTCGGAGCGGAAGCATCCCAAACAAGCGAGCAGCACTCAAAGCTAAGTCTTATATGGGCCTACAGAGTGAGGAGACTATGCGAAGAAAAGTACTTCTTAGCCACAAAGAAATAGCATAGCCTTTTCCCAGCAGTTGCCGCTGACAGTATGTGTTCGTGCCAAGTGCTTGGTGATCTGGACTCCGACCAGCTGAAATTAATGGCGTTTCTGGTACAACTCGGCCATATATCGTCACTACCAAAAATTTGCTTGCTTTCACGCTGTTAAAGGAAAATCCCAACTCTAACAACAGCCCGAGATTAAAGTAAAATGCTATCGGCATCTTCAAAGTAACATGAAGCATCGAACTGTTCTTGCATCGATGTCCCGCTAGCATGCACAAATCGCCGATGCGTTAACGTCCATCGTCGCTTTGGCTTTGCCCTTGTGTCACGTCATTAACACTCCTATCTATCTTGATCACTCGATGATATAAATCTGTTTAATTGGCGCTACATATAATAATTGTTTGTACGTTGGCTAATTGGTCGTTAATAACCGTTGATCAGTCAGGTCTCTAATTAAATGAAACAATGTGATATATTGTTACGCTATGGAATGTTTGCATTGTGACAATTTGTGTTTGATATAGAAAAAGTAAAGAATTACTATGCGAGTTGTCGATCATTTTATGCATTTGCTAGGGTTGGCGTGCCACGCGCTTCGTGGAAGTTAGAAGTGATTTGTCACAACTGTGTAAAGTAAATTGCAGGATAAACAACTTTATGTCTGAATAGGCGATATAAAGCAGCAAAACATGCCATAACAGGTTTGTGTGGGATCAAAACATTTTTTTTTATTTGAAATTACCTTTCATGCTTATTATTGATGGAATATGACAATGCGGATGCAAGAGGTCTAATTTTCAATAACTGCTACACAGATCCTGCTGAATTTGAACGACAGACTAGTTATGTAGACTTTAAGGTCATCGATAGGTAGCGCCTTATTCAAAAAGACCTTTGTGGCCAATTTACGTCGCTGAAAATAATCATAACGTCAAATTTCTTGTATTTCATAATTATGTGCAACAATCTGGTACAGTTTAATGCTTCCAAAACACAGTATTGCTTCCTGAATCGCATGAAGCGCAAAAATGGGATTTATTAAGCTCCTTTAAGCTCCTCATAGCAGCCCTCGTGCTCTGGTATTTAGGCTTTATCGGCTGCTGCTTCGGCATAAAAAATGTATTATCGTCAATGGATGGGTCATGTAACCACTGTAACTCTGCATCATACTCCTCGAATTAAAGCCTTAGTATCAAACCAAATTCTGTAAAATTGGTGACAGTTCAGTTACGGACTGGTACTCCAGATCTAGAACAAAGGGCCTGCAAGGCGCCTGAGAAAAAAGGGGATCTGTCGCCCAAAGAATGTATCGCAAATCAACATTTATGGGAGCTACAAACCGGACACAATCAAGAGTGCCATCTATATCTCGTGTTTTGTAATTTATTCTACTAACCAGTTAGTCTTTTGAATATCATACCTTAGAGATATAGGTACACAAAGATTACTCTAAATAATGTATTTCCATTTTACTTCACTACCTACAGAGCTCCGTGTATCTTGTTTCGGCTGGAAAAAGAATGTTACACTTATGGTACTTCCTGTTTCAGAAAGACCACAGTAGCGTCATTATCTTTACCTTTGTGTGCCATATCGTCGACGGAGGTGATGCCGGACGGCCATGGCGCCACGGCTGCACCCAGTTGCCCCGCTGGTAGAATGATGGTGGTGCTGATCTGCAACTGGTGATGGTCAAACAAACAGATCTGAAACAAGTAGGTGATCTTTATTTACCATCACTCCGATTGAAAGGAGTTCTTAGACCAATCTTCTTTTTATTAATTCATTATTATATTTAATTGTACAGGCCAGGTTCTGAAGTACCTGAGAGTCATGGAGTAGGCACATTGACTGTCTTGTTAAGAGCTTAATAATCATGATGTAGCCGAATATGTCAGCACGTAGAAGAATTTCTATTCCCGTGGGAGGATATCCAAGGAAAATCAATGATATCCGAGACGATGCAAGGTAATTCAAGGGGATGCGAGAGAATCTAACATTTTCTTCCCCAGAATATCCGAGCCAGTCGGCGGAGAGCTGCGATAATGTAAAAAGGTCCGAGGAAAGCTCTGTATAGTTCACTTCACGATTTTTGGAGATTCACACTATAACTACCAGCATCACTTATATATATATATATATATATGTAAGTGATATATATATATCTATATATATATACACAGGGTGTCCGCAAAGTTGGGGTCTTCCTTTACACGACGTGTAGATCTTGAAAACATAAGCAATTTTTCTTAGTACCGTATACACCAATGTCTTAAGGGAACCGAAATAAAGGGCTCTGCAACATCAAAAATATCTGAATACCGTCCTGTAGCCGCGACTCGCGACATCCCCGAGTGGTACTAGGACACTAGCTCAACCCGACGACAGAACTGGGTCGGGGTCAGTGTGTCAGGTCAGTATGCTTCCTTCAACCGACGGTTACGGTCACGCGTGTAGAGGTAAACGAACCCGTATAATCGATTGCGTTTCAAAAAACAACGAGCACTAGAGACGTGGCTAGAGAAGTGCAAGTATCAAACTAAAGTGTGGCAAACGCTGCGTGAAGACGGGCTGTATCCGTTTCACGTCCAACGTGTACAAGCCCTTCAACCTGACGATTTTCCAGCAAGAGTGCGGTTTTGTGAGTGGTTGTTGCATCAACATGACAATAATCCGGACTTTTTGAAGTGCATATTGGTGACAGACGAATCTACGTTCACGCGTAATGGGGTGAATAACTTTCGCAACACTCATGTTTGGTCAGTAGAAAATCCGCACGCTGTCCGTCGGGCACATTTTCAACAAACATTTTCGGTGAATGTTTGGGCTGGCATGGTGAACGGTATGCTCATTGGACCATTTATTCTCCCAAATGGATTGGACGGGATGCAATACCTAGACTTTTTACGCAACATTTTGCCTTCCTTGTTAGAAGATGTGCCATTAAGTGTAAGACAATCAATGTGGTTTCTGCACGATGGTCATATTTGTTACCTCTGTTCGTGGTCTGCACCACCGCCGGCGTCTGCTCGGTAGCGCATCAGCTGATTTCATTTTCTGTTGGAGCGGTATGATTTCGGGCAGAGACGTACTTAGCCCTTCTCGTCAACTGGAGAGTGAGTACTTTTTCCTTTATTTTTTTTTTACTTGGTCGCCCTCGTTTCACTGCACATTATCTTTGTTATTTCAAGGGTAGTTGTTTCTGAAAAGGAAAACCCCAACTTTGCGGACACCCTGTATATATATATATATATATATATATATATATATCTCCCTCACACATACATAAGCAATCTGTCTTTGTGCGCGGACATTTGTTTATGTAAGCTCAGACATACGGTCTCCGGTTTCATCTCGCTACTTCAAAAAGTATCTCCACAACGAATCAGTATTCCCAAGCTATGCTTGTCACTGTCAACCAACTTGACATGTGCGCATCATTTTAAGTTTACCTTTTGTGTATCCGTCATTGTCTGTCGTGGCGGTCCGTAGGACATTTGCCTTTGTGTCAAAGTAGGGGAAGGTGGGGTAACGAGGCAAGATGGGGTACGCGTATTATTCCGCCAATCCAAGGTGTTAAATTCGAGAACTACACATGAAACGACGCCAACGTGTTGCTTATTTCAGTAGCTTCTGTATCGTCATTGCAGTAGGTCGTGCTTTTACGACAGCGCGGAATCACGTCTTTTTTAAGGTTACGTTATTATTTTCGCATTTGTTTACAAGCGTGAAACTGTTACAAAATATTTATATACAGTGCTAAGTTTGGGTACTGAGGAAGCTTTTGACATTGTAAATTTAGGTGAGCTTTTGTTTTTTAAATAACTAAATTATTTTTTTGTTGCTTTTATTTTTTTATATAATGCAGGAAGGAGCATGATGGGGTATCACTCGTCGGGCAAGATAGGGTGGTACCGATTAAGATTTATCCAATATTTTTTACATTTCAGAATGGTGCGAAATTACGTTCGTAAAACCGATAGAGGGGGTTGGACGGAAGAGCAGATGAAGAATGCTGTTTTAGCTGTAGTGGAAAATAAAATGGGTTATTACTTAGCTGCAAAAGCTCTTGAAGTTCCTCAAACTACGTTGGATCGAAAAGAAAAATTGGCAAGAGAAAATATGGACAATTTACAAAAACTAAAAGTACCTCTGGGTCCAAAATCTGGCCATATGATCCTGCTGTCTTCATTAAAGACGATTTTATCGCGTCTGAGACCACTAATATAAATTTAGTACAGGATCAATCACCCCAAGCTAATATTCTCCAAAATCCAGCAGAAATTACAAACCCAAGATTAAATGAGAGCAATCCTAATACATCGACGCAATCATCAAGCACACAGTCTCAGTCCTCCAGTCCTCAGCCAGGTTGTTCATTTTGGAACACAAGTCGGGAGGAACAGATTCACTCGCCAACACAAAATACGTCATTTACACTAGTTAGTCTTAAGCAGCTACTGCCGCTACCGGTTACCACAAAGAAAAACAGAATCCAAACTAGGAAAAAAGGGAAGACTGCAGTTATAATCTCTTCGCCTTATAAGGAAGAGCTTGAGAAGGAATTACAAGAAAAACAACAGAAAGAGCAACTAAAAGTCAAAGGGAACATCGATAGACAAATGAAGAAAAATTAAAAACAGAAAATAATCGAGGAAAAACAAAAACTGAAGAAAAAAAACAGCAAAATTAGATAAGACAAAAAGGAAAGCGTCCCAGACATGAGTCAACTGACGAAAGCGACGATGAGGACGACACCTCATGTCTCTATTGCAGTGGATTATATTCCGCTTCTGTAGAAGGCTGGATAAACTAATAAAGCGTAATAAATGGGCGCATTGCGGTTGCGCAGACGTTGAGGATGATGACGATGAAGCCACGCACATCTGTTTATTGTGTAAACCCAAGAAATAGTTTTTTTGGGACTATGAGCTTCCCTTTAAGTTTTATTAGGCAATCCAATTTTATTTTAGTTAAATGTTGTTTAATTCTTTTCATTTTGGCAGTATATTATAAACCCTATGGGGCAAGACGGGGAAAATCTTACTTTTTCAGTTTCCCCGGTTTTTAAAAAAAATAAAATTTTTAATTTGTTTTCTCCTATTATTTATACACTTATAACCAATGAATACTATAAAATAAAAAATATCCAAAAAAGTGCGAATTTGAGCTATAACTCCAAATCAATCCTTAGCTATCCCATCTTGCCCCACCTTCCCCTACCTAAGTCAGTTTGTTATTCTGTAGGCCTGGTCACCCAGAAACCAGACGTATTAATAGAAAAAAGTAGAAGAAAAAAAAATAATGAAAAAAGGAGAGCATAGAGTAAAGGGGCCTACAGACACACGAACATGTATTAAGACATGAACGCACGGCGATGTTTGCGCAGTGATACCCGTCGATCTACTTTTAGCTCCACACATAGAGACTTGTGTGTCAGTTTTCTCCACGTCGATGTTGTAGTTTGTCGCCATGTCTAGCGATGAGGAGTTAAACTTACTAGCAGTGGCGTGCGTTTGTATTGTGAAAAAAAGAAAACATCAATTGAAAAAGAGACGTCAGCCACGAAGAAAATGGGTTAAAGATTGGCTTTTGAAGCGGGATCAATATTCTCAGATCAATTTACTTGAAGAGCTACGATTAGAACCTGATGATTGGCGAAACTACCTCCGGTTGGATGAAGATAGTTATACAAAACTCCTAGAGATGGTTACGCCACTTATTGAAAAACAGGACACACCGATGAGACCCGCTATATCGGTACATGAAAGACTGTCGGCCACATTGACGTATTTGGCCACTGGGAGGAATTATGAAGATTTAAAATTTTCTACCCTGATTTCTACACAGTCATTGTGCAACATAATTCCAGAGACATGCAGCGCTATTTATGAAGTTTTGAAGAAAGACTATATGAAGGTGGGTACAGAGTATATTACTTAGTAGTAAAATAAACAAAATAAACACAAACACAAACTCTCAAGTATTATATTTTTATACATACAACGCTAACCTAATAGAACTCTTATATGTAAATATAAACTGGACCTTAAATGTTAGCTTCACTTAGAGGATTATACGATCCAAAATAAGTTGAAACTGTGGAGCTACCCTCGTTGATTTGTTGAGGACGGCTTTGATGGCACTGGGGCTTAAGTGGCATAGCGGATAGCAAATAAGTTTGTGCTTGATTTTGTGTGCCTGATATATTTATAGGTTGAGTTGAATTGTAGTTATATTGATTAGGGTAGCAAGCATCAACAACGCTATTACTGGAAAAATTGTCTTGATTCTGTTCATTGTCTCCTGACGAAACAATCCTAGTATTTCTGGACACGTTACCCATTTCAGCCTCAAATAGCAGATCATTTATGAGTTTCTCAGTGTATAATCTGGTTTCTTTGGGGAGTCCTATCAATATTGCTGCGACATTTTTCCCAAAAATGGCGAATTGATCGTCATTCTTGGAACGTAGTCTTTCTCCTACCGCCGCCAACACGTTGTCTGCTTCTTGGTTATCAGAGTTTGTCTTGCGTTTCTTTTTTCCCCGATTTCCAGCTGCAGGCAGCGGTACAATGTTTTCTGGATTGGAAATTGGACGTACATTTTGACTGCTACAAGGTATGGATATTGGTGGTCTTTGTACTGAGCTCACCTCACTCTCTTGACTTTCATTTACATCATATCTAGTTTTCTGCAACAAAAT